AGGGAAAATTGTAGTCGCAGTCCCAAACATTTTCGTTTTTTGTAGATTTTACCTCAACATTCACTTTATGTCACCACAGGTCTCCAAACCTTTGAGGAATTCGCATATGCAGTCCAAAATGACGGAAAACGTTAGTTCCACTATCAATTGACCTCAAAAATGGAAAAAAGGCAAATTTTGACCAATTTAAACAATGACATTTTCGTCCATTCCAATTTTCCCCTTTATTTAAAAAAACAAAGTTATTTCGTCGGTTATAATATCACTCCCTCTCCATTCTCCTTTACGGTTCGAACCCATTGGTCATTTTCTACAATGTTGAACGAAGATAGCCAACAATCCGACGAAATTCAAGAAGATTTTGCATGTCACATACGAGGCTGTTTTCTAGAACCGTATATGGTAAGTTTTTAATTCTTTTCAAAATTTCTGGTTGTAGACATGTTTGCCTCACAGTGGGTTATCAACTGTGATTTTATTAGTGCATATTTCCACAATTTTAATCGTGTTATTGAGTTGGAATAAAAAAAATTCCTATTTATTCGCACTGATTTTGCATTCATATCGTTCAACTAGGGTTTGTTGATGGCGGGTTTCTGATATGATTTTTTTAAGGGAGAAATTCAAGTTATTTCACCATAAAGGCGGTGTATTTTTCGAAAAGATGGGAAATATTGTGTATGAGCACGAGAAGATAGCTTATCTAGACTACACGCACCCCAATTGGTTTAATAGATTTCTCCTGGACAATATTATGAAGATTCTAGGCTATTTTGAGAAAATGAGGTATGTGTCTAAGATTGAAAATAGGAGATTGAGTGAGGCATCGTTCTAGCTAGTGAAAGATGCACACTTTATAAATGTAGTTAAGTTGTTTAGTGAGAAGAGGCTTGCTGGGATGTGGTGTGTGCCTCTAGTTGAAGTGTTGGAATTGCCATGGGACGACAAAGTAAGGCATGATATTTCGGTGTTGGATGAGGTGGAAAAAAAGGGAAACAAGATGTTGACAAAAAGTTTGGGTATAATGTATGCTATGCAATGGAGGTTTATGATGAGTTTCTAGAGGGTGATGACATGTATGTTGTCTATGAGGTTTACGGCAATGGTGATGTTGACAAAATAGAAATGGATGCAGGGAGTTCTGTGTTACCTCAACATGATGCACATGCTATAGATAATAATGAGTCACCTGTGTCACCTCAACATGATGTACCTACTGAGTACGACATGATGCACCTGCTAATGCATCATATGTTGATGAGGCCCCCACTGAAGTACAACGTGATGCAGTAGGTATTGATGAAGCATGTGTTGATGAAGCCCCCGCTGCTTCACCGCATGTTGATACACCACTAGCAGATGCACCCCTTTCCCTTGCAGAAGATCATGTTTCTTCAGATGGGCATAAAATGAGTGATCAGCCTGGGGTACCTACTGTACCCCCTACAGATGCATCACCAGATGAGGCACCTAATGTTGTTGAAAATGTGGACCATACGTACACTAGAGAAGGACATATTGAGATGGAATTTGAGGAAGATATAGTAGAGGAGTTCGGTGATTCGGATTATGAACAGGAGGAAGATGTGTCTGTTGATGATAATGATGAAGATATATATTTCAAGTTGTCTAAGGTTTTGATATTGGTGATGAAAATTCGAGGACAAAACATAAGGGTGGAGCAAGCCAGTTAGATGGCAATGGAACAGAATATGATAAGTCAGACAATCTTAGAAGTATTCCAAGTGATACCAAAGAAGTTGGTAGCTCTTCAAGAGCTAGGAATGAGCCTTAGTTTAATCCCGCTGCAGACATGGAAGATCCACAATTCCGAATATGCATGAAGTTTGACAACATAAAGATATTAAGGGAAGCAGTTATACAGTACTCCGTTAAAAATACAAGGCATGTCAAATATGTCAAGAATGTCCGGATAAGACTATGAGTCAAATGTCAACACAACTGTTCATGGCTTTTGTATAACTACAATTAACCAAACAAAAGTTTCAGGATTAACACATTTAGAGATGAACATACATGCACAATGGTGTGGCAGAATCGAAGAGTTCATGCTAGTTACTTAGCAAAAAAATATATACAGAAGTTCAGATCTGACCCAAAAATATCCATGAATAGTTTTACAGAAACGGTGAAAGAGGATTGTATGTATGAGATCTCTAAATATCAATTTTATAGAGTTGGAAAAATATCCTATCAATCCACCTATAAAAAAGAAACAGGCAGGCAGACCAAAGAAGCCGTGTAAAAGATCGCAAGTAGAGCCACCTACAAGCACCAAAATGGCAAGGACTTGATGAAAATGACATGTAAAAAATGTAGTAGAACATGTCATAACAAAAGAACATGTTCTAAAGCAGGTTCACAGCAAGACGCAGAACAGGAAACACAGCCAACTCAATCACAGGGCAAGAGAAAGAGAAAGACCTCTATACAGCTGGATACACAGCCAACTTCATCACAAGGCAAGGGCAAGAGAAAAACTTCAGCTCCCATAGAGCCACAGGCAGAGAAGAAGAAAACTGGACAAAAAAGAATATAGCTTTTTGTATGATGATCATTTTGAAAAAACCTTTTTGTATGGTGAAGTTTATATGATTACATTTTTTGGTAAAACCAATTTGAATTTGTTTTTGTATGATGAATGAAACAAGATGTAAAATGTTGATGTAGAATGTGAATATTCAAATGAAAAAATGGTTCTTTTTGTCTTTACTTAGTGACTGTTTTTTGGATCATTCTGTTCTAGGTGCTTCAAAAATGAAACAGTTTTGGAATTGGGACCGAAAGTGATAAAATAGACATTCTTACTCAAATAAAGAATCAATACATAAGATTAAACTCCATAAAAGGTTTGGGACCTACTGTACAACTCATTCAAACTATTTGGGTCTTTATGTGAATTTAAAAACAAATGTTTGGGACGTACGATGCGACTTTGTAAAGGATTGGGACTTTATGTATGACATATTGAAAACGTTTGAGACATGCAATGCACCACCTACAACTAGCTTTCCAACAAATTTTTCCCCTCATTTTGAAGCATTTGCTCACGGGGGAAGGAGGAAAGTGTAAAATGAAAATTAGGACAACACTGTTGAATGATAATATGTCTTACTTATTTAATGAAAAATAAGTTACAAGATCATAGACAATACTTGATTACTAACTCATGAACCCACCTTCCAAAACACAAACACAAACATATGAGCTCATACACCTAACACAAATCTATGCACATACTCATTTCACAAAAAATCTACATACAAATTCTAATAACTAAGTCTTCTATGAACCATGGCTTCTTGCACGTAGGGTGTTTAGTTCAGCTTCCATCTCTCTTCTAACACGTAGAAATCAAGGGATTATCTCCCTCGACCTGACTCATATACCAGTCAAAGAAGTTACATCCACCGACATCCTGACGCCATG